ATGAGAATGAGGTTAATGGTGACATTGCTCTGAGGTAGAAGAAACAAGTTGATGATTGTGGTGATCAGCCAGATCTCGTGCAGAATAAAGATGAACTGATGATGATGATGATGATGATGATGATGATGATGATCTTATGCAGACAATAATGATGGTGAGAATCTTGATAACAGCATGATGATGATGATGGAGTCGAGGAATAGGATGAACATGGAAACTTGTGACTGATCTGGAGGGCGAGGATGGCAATGATGATGAGGTTGGGGATGCCAATGTCCAAGTGAGAGCTGTGAATCAGCAAAGTAGTTGATAACGATGATTACGGGATGTGAGGATCAACACATTGCAAATGAGCATGATGGTGGCAATGAATGACAAAGATGATCTTGCGAACCAGCAATATGATGATGACGACAGGATGGGGGTGATGATGACATTCTAAATGAGCACCATGGCTGCAATGAATGAACTAGATGATGTGGACCGACAAGGTGACGATGACATGAATGATGACGGTGGTGTGGTGGTGTGATGGTGATGCTGGTGAGTCCTCGATGACTACATGTGGAACCACCCTGATGACAGCAAAAAGAAAGTCAACATGATTTTGCACTGATATTGCACGTGCGCACATGTAGACACAACACACACTTACACTCCATGGGTGCATGGGTGTGTATAGTGGGTTTCATCTACTACCTTCTATTAAACCACCAGTGCATCCGCACCTAAAATCCCAAACCTACCTGCCCACTGCGTGCCACTATTTTCCGAGCCTTCTGCGTGAGGGTACCTGCAGTGGGAATTTCGGAAGTGGCACTGGTGCCGACGGACTGCCTGAAGGGAAAAAAGAAAAAGGAACAAACATTGCAGAGAGCAGTGATGCCGTGAAAGGACGTCATGGAGGCCATACACAAATGATCACTTTCCTGAATGCGTCTGACCACTATTACGGGGACAGGGAAAAGTTGCTGTTTTTCTTTTTTTTCTCGTTTTGTTTTTTTCTTCTTGGCCCTGCCAGCAAGGCAGTGCATATTCCTCTTGCTCAAAACGCCCTCGCTGAGGGCATACTCACACTAGCGGCGTTGAAATGCATCCAACCACTTTCACGGCCGAAGCGTTGTTCCTTTCTTTTTTGGTTCTTTTTTTGAGAGTCCGACAGTCCTGCTCCCCGTGGTGCCCTCACTGAGGGCAAACTCGCATGAGTACTCCAAAAAGTGTATCCAATTGCAATCACGGCCAAAGGCTTTCTTTTTTTTGTTCTTTTTTTGAGAGTCCGACAGTCCTGCTCCCCGTGTTCTGCGTTCTGCTGAAGTGCCCTCACTGAGGGTAAACTCGCACGGGTACTCCAAAAAGTGTATCCAGCTGCAATCACTGCCAAAGCTTGTTTTGTTTTTTGGGACGTACGGATTTGAGATGGGCCCAAAAATTCGAAAACCTTCTGATGCTCCAACCCTGCCCCGAACCTGCCTTTTACTTCTTCTGGCGACAAGTTATTTTGTTGCAAGGCTGGTGGTTTAAAGTTCTTCCGGTCGGGTGTAATGCTACGCTGCTACCCGTTCCGACCGTGCCCATGTGTGAGATGGGCCATAGGATAAGCAGCGCGTTTTCCAGCATCTATTAATGGTGTCCCTGGAAAATGCTATGGACTTCTACAGGCCGCGAGCGACCACTAAGTGCGTAAAGAAAAAAAGGGAAACCAACTGCACAAATCCAAAAAATTACAGCGGTGTATCTTTTCAGGGTTGTTGGGAAAGATTTGCTCTCAGTTTACACATTTGCTGAGTGGTATGGCGAGGCCCGGTATCTCGAAGGCGGTTTTGTTCGTTCTTTTTTTTTTTTTGTCAATTTCAAACTTTTCGTTTGTTGGTCTTCTGGGGATTCTGTCCGTGGGCCTCCTCGTGCGGCTTGCCGGATGTGCAAAATGACAATTTATCTTCTGTTAAAACGTGGAAAGATACACTGCTGCATTTTTTTTGTAATTTTTTTTGCAGCTGGTGAGTTGCCCCACGAGGTCCTCTTTTGCATTTGGGGTGTGGCTGCACTACTCACGAAATTTGCAAAATGAGAATGAATCTTCCGTCTGAACATGGGAAGACACAACACCATAGTTTTTGTCTTTTGTGCATGTGGTCAGTAGTGGGGCAAGGCCGTTGGCCCCAGGTGTTTTGTCCTGCTCATTGGATTCCATATGGGCTCGAACTTGGTGCTCTCTCTCTCTCTCTCCCTCCTCGTATGGTGTCCCTGGAAAATGCTATGGAATTCTACAGGCCGCGCGCGACCACTAAGCGCATAAAGAAAAAAAGGGAAACCAAATGGGCGTCGACGCAGCACTCACCAACTGCACAAATCCAAAAAATTACAGCGGTGTATCTTTTCAGGGTTGTAGGGAAAGATTTGTTCTCAGTTTACACATTTGCTGAGTGGTATGGTGAGGCCCAGTATCTCGAAGGCGGTTTTGTTTGTTCTTTTTTTTTGTCGATTTCAAACTTTCCGTTTGTTGGCCTTTTGGGGATTCTGTCCGTGGGCCTCCCCGTGCGGCTTGCAGGATGTGCAAAATGAGAATTTATCTTTCGTTAAAACGTGGAAAGATACACTGCTGCATTTCTTTTGTATTTTTTTTTGCAGCTGGTGAGTTGCCCCACAAGGTCCTCTTTTGCATTTGGGCCCTTGCTGCACTACTCACGAGATTTGCAAATGAGAATGAATCTTCCGTCTGAACATGGGAAGACACAACGCCATAGTTTTTGTCTTTGTGCATGTGGTCAGTAGTGGGGCGAGGCCGTTGGCCCCAGGTGTTTTGTCCTGCTCATTGGATTCCTTATGGACTCGAACTTGGTCCTCTCTCTCTCTCTCCCTCCCCCTCCCCCCCGTCCCTTTCTCCCTCCCTCTGTGCGTCCCTCCTTCCAGAACTCCTCTTTCAGTGGTGTTACTCGACCTGAAAGCAAAATAGATGGATTCCTCTGGCGTGGCAAAGTGTACCCTCCCTCTCTCTCTCCCGCCTCCCCCCCTACATCCCCCCTACCCTCCATTTACCCGTCCATTCGCCTACTCCATTTTTATGAGGGTGCTATGTTGCAAGCGGGACAGGGTTTGTGCACGATTGGAACGCTCAGGGGGGGATCGTGTCGTGCATGCGGACATGCAAGGAAAGAAGGAACACTAGGGGGAGGTTAGGTGCCTGGTCAGTCAGGGAGGAAAAGGTCGCTATTGAAATCTTGAAGGGCTAGAGGAGCTTGAGAAGAAAGAAGGGGGAGGGCGAGGATGCGGGGTCAGGATTTGGTTGTCGGTCAGGATCGAAATCTGGCGACAGGGTAAGCAGAAACAGAGTTACCGAGATAGAGTGAAGCATGCATGTTAAGTTTGTCGGCGTTAAGGTGGTTGTGGAGGGGGAGGACGTCTAGTAAACGGCAAGAGGAAATAAGCCGGGGACTGTTTTTGTGAAGAAGGGGATGAGCAGCGCGGATTGGGAGGAGACGGAACATGATGTGGGATCGAGAGGAGGAGAAGGTCGGGATGTAACTCATGAAGTGCATGGAAGAGGACATCAAGGCAACATGGAAGAGGACATCAAGGCAACATGGAAGAGGACGTCAAGGCAACAGGGGAAGGAGTGCAGGTCATCTAGGGGGATCCAAACAAGGTGGGGAAGAAGAGGTTGCGAGGCAGGAAGAGGGCTCATCGAAGAGGGAGGAGAACAGGTTGTAACGAAAGGAGAGCAGGATAACGACAACGTGCCTGAATCACGAGAGGGATAGGGTAAATGCGAACATGAAGGCAATGGAGAGCAAATAAAGAGAGAACAAAGAAAGAGAGAACGGACAACAGAGGGGAAAGAGAGGAAAGGACATACGATATGCGTAGGGGCCACATTGAGTATTTGAGTATGTAGCTTGGAGAGGATCCCAACGGAGGAGAGAAAGGCGTGGGTAATCACAGGAGGAGAGAGGTGACTGATACGTGACAAGGAGAGAAGCGGATGGGAAAAGCAGACTGCTGGGGGAAGGATTCCGCATCAGACTGAGATGGCATTGGGGCAGGCCAGAGGGAGGCAATGGGGAAGGAAGAAAGGATAGAGGCGAATGTGTAGGGGAGAAAGACCGACACAGGACAAGGAGAGGAGGATGGGAAAAGTGGGCAGGCGGGGTAAAGATCGGGAGGGGGAATGGAGGCCACAAACTCTAAGATGGCATCGGGAGAAAGACGTGAAGAGAGAGGTGACCGACACAGGACAAGGAGAGAAGATGGGAAAAGCGGAGTGGTAGGGAAAGAGGACTGGGGAAAGATCCGAACGGGAAATGGAGGGCAAAAGTTCCAAGATGGCATAGGGATAGGAGAAGGGAGGTAACGGACAGGGAATGAATGGAAAACGAGAGTAGGTAGGGAACAGAGAGAGAGAGAGAGAGAGAGAGAGNGACAGGGAATGAATGGAAAACGAGAGTAGGTAGGGACCAGAGAGAGTGAGATAGAGAGAGAGTGATGGATTGAGAGAGAGAGAGAGAGAGAGAGAGAGAGAGAGAGAGAGAGAGAGAGAGAGAGGGGGGAGAGAGAGAGAGAGAGAGAGAGAGAGAGAGAGAGGAGGGGGGGGGGTGGCACAGGGCAGCGAGAGAGAGAGAGACTTTTGTTCTATTTGTTAAATGAGTGAGAGAGAGAGAGAGAGAGGGAAGGGGGGGGCGACTGGATTGATTGAAATTTGTGAACCGATTGATTAAATCTGGGAAAAAAAAAGAATTCCCGAATGGATTTGATTGATTGAAACCCGTGAAAGGATTGATTAAAATTGGTGAACAGCGAGCGGTTGTTTTTTCTCCTCCTGTTTCTCCTTTTTTTGTTTTCCTTTTCGCCTTCTGTTTCTTCACAATCACCGCGATTGTTGTTTGTTAATGTAATTGATCCATCCACATACTACACACATCATCAACTTTTTATAGCAGCTCATTGTCGTCCTCAAAACAAGCATCGAACTCTGTTCCACACGGTATGCCACGCTCACACGATTGTTACAGCAGTATTCTTCCTTTCCTCTGTCTCTCTCTCTCTCTCTCTCCACTGTTGCGGTTCCCACCGCCGCCGCTTTCACCGCTATGGTCTCCAGTGCTGCAGTTTGTACTGCTGCTGTTTCAACTCCGGGTTTCACTCCAGCAGTTTCTGCTACGGAAGTTGCCTCCGCTGCTCGTCCTGTCACTGCTGGTTCATCTGCTGCTAATGCAGTTCCCACTGTTGCGGTTCCCACCGCCGCCGCTTCCACCACTGTGGTCTCCACTGCTGCAGTTTCTACTGCTGCTGTTTCAACTCCGAGTTTCACTGCAGCAGTTTCTGCTACGGAAGTTGCCTCCGCTGCGGTCCCTGCTACGGAAGTTGCCTCTGCTGCGGTTCCTACTACAACAGTTGTCTCTGCTGCGGTTCCACTTTTTACCACTTCCTCTGCTTCTGTACCTCAAATTTCTCATGCTATAGTTTTTACTGGTATAGCTTCCTCTACCCCAGCCCGACACTCGCGTCCTATGTTCCGACATCTTGCCGAATCCACCCCCCTTTCATCCCTTTCTGTGCTTGGCCGCGATGGCTGCGTTCCTCCTCGCCACCCCCATCTCCTCCACGGTCTCGTTTGAGAACCGATTCTCCGGTTTCTATTCTTCCCATTGTTCCGCCTTCATTGCCAGTGACATCYTCTGTTAGAAACATCGCCACTCCTCTTATTGTGTATCATCRTCGACGACATGCACAACATCGCCACTTGGCCAGGGATCAGCGGCCTGCTTCTTTGTCTACCCCAATTCTCTTTGTGCCTCCTCCACGGGTCGTTGCGGTTCCGTTGTCCCAAACGGATACGTCCGCTCCTATGCCTCCTGCAGACARTCCAGCTGCTTGCACACAGCCACAGCACCATGTTTTATGCCCTTCCATGTTCGTTTGTCCCCCAGCTGTGCAACAGGATATGGTCCCTGCCCAGAGTACACTCCCAACGACAGTCCCTACTCACGATGTGGCCCCAAACGCTGAGGGCCTAGGACATGATCAACTCGGACTGCATTTAACCCCGCAAGGCATAGACCACACGGGAGATTTGCAACTGGCTGACCAGGATCATATGGATGAACCGTGTACTTGTGCCCCACCCTGTGTGGCCCCGAGCACTGAGGGACTGGAACATGATCTGCTTGGACTGCATTTAATCCCACATGGCGTAGACCCCACGAGGGATTTGCAAATGGCTGACCAGGATCATATGGATAAACCGCATACTTGTGCACCACCCTGCGCAGACCCCACGGGTGATCTACAAATGACTGACCATCAAAACCAGCCTGAGATCCCTGCCAATCTCTGTGGTCTAACTGCAACTAATAGCTGCCTTCACGTTCTCAATCCGCCGTTGTATACACCATCAGATTTCCTTGCAATTGCCCTGCAGCTTGATGTTGATCTCGCTAATCTCGTTGATCCCCCCGACCTACAGCCAGAGCATCGTAATTACACCAGGGAAGGAGGTTTTACCATTGCTGTCCTAGAAATAGCGATGAGGAACCGCCAGCTTGAACTACGCCATGCTCTACCAGGTGAGCTGTTTAATCGTCCATCCCGCATCTCTGCCTGCATTGTSCATGGGCCTGGCCATTACATGGCTATTGTACACGCCTCTGACCATTGGGAGGTGTGGAACGACGGTGTCATGGTCCATGCCATGATTGATATTACTGATTTCTTACTCT